AGACAGTTTTGTGAAAAAAATTTTTACCTTCGGTAACCATCGACAAATGGTTGCCAAAGTTTCTTCGTAAATATGTGAAAGCGTTGCGCTGAACTTATATGTGGTTGTCTTATGTGACGGTTCAGATACTGGCGAAGGTTTTTTAGTTACTCCGGTTACTTCAATGTTTTTAAAATCGACAGTAATGGGAACATTTTCTGGTTCTAGTTTTTTTGTCGGTTTCTGCTTGGATGTTGTTACTGTTGACGTTGATGTAGCTGCCGCTTCTGCTGGTACCGGTGCTGTGGCTGTTGTTATTTTTATTGATGATGTTGCTGTTGCTGTTCTTGTTGTCATTGTAGATGATAATTCTGTGTCCTAAACTTGGTTTTTAAGTCTTCAAATGATCTATTTAGTGATCCTCAGAGATTTTTTCACTATGGCTAGAAGAAAAAAATTAAAGCCCTTGGCGACTTTTATAATTTATTACAGAAAAAAAAAGAGGGAGAAAGAGAAAAGATCAGAATGAACTTTTTTTAATGTTCGCTAACATGTTCTGAATGATACACGTGTGCTTGTGAATTACTAAGATTCTTGAAGGCATATGTTTTCCTTTTTCTGAGTTTTTTGTTTGTTTTCCTCCTCATACTACACGAAATCATATTAACGAATTACAGGAATAAAAGGTCGAGCAGTTGGCATAATTCCCGTCGGGTTTGTAAACCACGTTGGTTGATTTGACGGTAAAGTTTGTTGCACTCTTTGCCACCACGGTTTATCTGTTTCTATTTCCGGTACTGGCCACCAACGTGGAACTTTTCCGCTTGTTAAAGGCTGTGATGCTGTTGCTGCAATTAAATTTTATCAGTTATAAAGCATATACCCCTATGTTTTCAGCTATTACCGATGTTTATAGCAACAAAGGGGGTACTCAGTTGTGTTTATTGTTCAGAAAGATTGACTAAGAATTACTTAGCGTTTTCATCGTTAGGTCATCTGCAGAAGTCACGGTTGAACTAGCAAATGTTTCTGCAGTGGTGCTGCTAGGTTTTTCAGCTCTTGATAGTTGCGATTTCAAATTTTCTGGTTCTATGGAAGATGATGATGACATCGTCGTAGGTCTGTAGTGTGGATAATGATACCCTTCTGGAAGGCCAAGTTCCTGTTTGGAGTAAAATCGGTTGTGGAAACCAAATGGAATTGATATTGGTACATATGCGCGTCCAGTCTCTGTCATAGTTATAGCGTCTAAGACGATAAGCATACCTTAAAGAAGTTTAAATCAATTAAAATTATTAATAATGTCTGGAAATTGAATAGTTTTCATTGCAGTTATACAAGTTGGCTTTTCCTCACAGAAAAATTAAAAAAATTGTATGTGAAAATTCCTGTTGAGATTAAACCTTTGTTTTCTTGTAGGTCGAGTGCCCTAACTAAAAGAACACCATCATCTTCTTTACGTGAACCTGGACGAGCTACAAAATATGGTTCGTGTAGTACCATTCCGGTGTCTGCTTTATAGACCGCATTTCTAGTTCCTTAACAAATTTATTTAAAAGTTTAGTACTTGCTACAAAAAAGCTGTTTTATTAAATTAATTTTTTATGAGAACGAGTAAATGTTGTGATTTTACCAGCTGGTTCATCCACGTTAATTTTGATAATTGAATTGTCTGATGCGTACGGATTCTGGACGATGTAAGCCCACTGATAGGGTCTTGATTCGTAGTCATGATTTATTTGTGGAAAGTCCGCAGAAATTGTTTCCTGAACAAAGAAAAAGTAATCAGTAATGCGAAAATATTCTGAATAAAAAATTTCCTCAGAAATCCATCATAGGAAAGGAATATTTGGAAACTTACTTTAGGTATTAGGTAGCTATACATGATTCGACTTCCCTTAAGATCAATCGTAAACCGGAGGATACGTGCTGTTTCCGGATAGAGCTGAAAATTTGAATAAAACTAAATTTTTTTGCTGGATTTTTTTGAGAGCAGTAAAATAACAGTATTCTAAGTTGTTGTTGGAACTTGTTACTATGGAACATTGTTCAGTAAAAAAAGGCAGAATAACTCAGCCAAATAAAACCTGTTCAGTGAGGAAGTCTGTATAAAAGTACTTGACGTAGGGATCGTGTCTATCATATACAATCTAAATTATAAAATAAAATAAAATTTCTTCAAATGCTTATTTATTAATTGCTGTAACTAATATACCAGGGACTTTTGCTGGCTTCTAGAAGAATGCAATTTTTGTTGGATCTAAAAGCAGAAATTTTGAGAGATGAAAATTTAAGTGTACCATATCAGCGGATATAGTGCCATCTGGATTATCGAATGCGTTGAGTTGGTGAGTGACAAACATCGAGGGGAAAACTTCCAGAGGCTTTTTCGTGCTCCATTCGCGAAGTTTCTTGTTAAAAATCAAAAATCTGTAAATCTTGGTCTTAACAGTTCTTAAAGATTACTTTGCAACAAGTTCTTTCTTCTTGCAATTATCGCTTGCCTTAAAAGCAATTAATTTCAAAAAAAATTTTTTTTTGATTAGGAATCGACGGTTCTGATCTTTTACCTCATTGGTACCATGTCATAGAAATCCATTCCCCAAAGTCCGCCTTCCTGAATAGAAGAATGAATGTTGGTCATTGGTGGTTCTTTAAATTTGCATGGGTTGATCAGTAATGAAGTTATTGGAAGAATTATATATCTCTCAGTTGAAGTTATAGAGTGAATATAACCAGGGAGCAAAGTTTTGTCGCCTGAAAAGTTAATGGTAGTAATCTTCACGTTTTTTTTCAAGATTAGTCACTTAAGTCCTTATTAATCTTATCTTTTAGAGTAAAACTGTTACTCTTCTAGGCTTTTGACCTAGTACATTAGCTTTCCGAAGAAATTTTTTTGTAATGAATGTGACTCTGGTTTGCCTAACAGACTGTTTGAGATAATACTGAAGATTACAAGCAATAAAATTTTTTAAATTGAAATTCTATTAGTTTATGAAATAATGCAGCTTTTGAAATAAATTGATGTTTTTAAAAAACTTCTTTATCGATCGTGCCAATTGGATTAGTGCGTTAGATTAAGCTTTTAATCAAACATATGTTTAATTATGGTATAATGGGTGACCGTGCGAATACCCACTGAATTTGAAAAAGAAAACGGAACGTAACATTTACTTTTGATCAACCTCTCAAAACCAAATATTTTCTTTACCAATGCGGAATTTCTGTACAATGCCTGAGAACCATTTCAAAAAATTTTCTTTTCAAGAATTTCTAAAACACAATAAGAGTAGTTTTCAAAGAAAATTCTACCTAATAGTTTTCAGTTTTTCAACACAAAAGCTAAAAATAACTGAACACCAAAACCGTAGTTATTTAAAAAAACGAAAACAGCACCGCTAAACCAAAAACCTGTCAATTAATCCTGTGCGATACATCAATTGAAAACAATTAATTTACTTTTTCAAGAAACAACAGAAAAAAAATAAGTTTAGTGGTATCCTCTAACCAATAAATTGATAAGAAGTGGAAGATTGACAATGAATACTACCGGGTTACTATTTCTTCTGCTCACTCACACTTTCTCAACTATTTTAAAGTTTGATTTTAATGCTAATATTGTTAAAGATATTAACAAAAATCTAGAAAAAATCTCTTTTCTCTAAATTTTGATAAGGAACAAATGTGCCAATTCAGGAAACGTAGTAGTTGTTTACTTACCAATATACTCGTCGTCTTTTCCACACGCAGTATTATCCCAAACACCGTAGTCGTACATACCTACCACCTTTCGTGTGCCTGATGGTTCTACCGTGAATATACCCTTCAAAAATGAATAACAGTACTGGTCGTGCTGACTTATCTTACGCTATCTGAAAGTATTGTCGCTATCAAAAACTTTCCTACCTGATAGAATCGCTGTTCATTGAAATTCATCGCAGAAAATGAGCCCCACAGTGTACCATCAAGATCGTTCCTTTCGTGAATTGCCATCGAAATTGGTATCATCGTCGGTCTGGCGACCCCAAAAACATCGTTGTCTTCAACAAATGGGAAAAGTCTAAATCGGTCCAAATTCTTCACCTGAAATATGCACGTGTAAAACTTATGTTAAACATTCAGCGTAGAAGTTTGTCAGCGTCAGCAGTTGACACTTAACGTGCCACAATTTTTGTTCAGCACTGAAATTTCAGTTTGCTACTAATCTCCAAAATTATTTTCACATATATATTTTAAATATGCTTGGGAGAAGTTAGTAAAAAATTGAGTAGGAACTGAACGACAATAGGAGAAAAGGAATTTTGAAGCTATTGTTCAAACAGTAAAATTAACTGCACTCAGTACAACTATACAATTGAGTGTTCAAAGTTTTAATTAAGAGCAAAAGCCAATTGTTAATTAGGCCTACTGAGCTCAGACGATTTCAGTGTTTTAAAAAATACTTGTTTTATATATGTCACAGAATTTTTATTAGTGCAACAAAATTTTTGTATAGCTTTTTGCCTAAAGTTTGTCAGTAGTAAAACATTATTAGAATAACACATAAGATAAGCAATTTTAATATTAATATGTGCAGTTTTCTATATTTATCAAAACATCTCTGACTAAATGTTAACGTAAAATTCGAACTCATTCAGTTTTTACCGCAATCTCAGTTTTTATAGTGCAGTATTTGTAAGCAGTTAAATTTTTTTAGACGATAAAGAAATATTAAAAACGCTGCAAAAGGTAGATTAAAAAATTTTTTAGTTGAAAGTGTTCGCTAACTGCCGTTCGAACAACAACAACAACAACAGCAATGTTTAGCTGTGGCATTATATCGTCATTGAAGCGTTTCAAAGCAACAATTGTCAACAAAAAATTAGTGTAAGAATTTTATTTAAAAAATAAAAAAAGATTAATATACTAACATCAAACTCATATCCAACCCAATATGGTGCTTCTGTACCGGCAAGTACTCGTTTTCCAACTTTCCAGAAGTCAAGATTTGGATGGAACCGAGCAGAGTCTGGATTAGCTGGTACCTGGATTTAGATTACCTTTTCCAATATATTATAGTTTTTGGAAATTACTCATTATTAGTGCAAATCAAAACTTTAGTGCTTGGTCACTAGCATAAATTAAAATTATACCTGTTCCCAACGAGACATCGCAGTAAGATTGTAATCAGACCATCCGGCCCATGGAACAGAAGCTTTTGACATATTTCGATCATAAAATTCCCATATTTTAAACGGTCTTGAAGGATAGTACTGAGCAGAGAAGACTACCTGTAATTTAGTAAAAATAAAACAGGTCAATAGATTAAGAGTGTCAATTACCAAAATTTCAACAGTATAAAATTTTGCTTGCTGGGAAAATAATTTATGGAAGATTGGCTAAAATATAATGTTTTACCAACTGAGCGAAAATAAACGTTATTTGATTGAAAAACAGTATTAGCGAACATCGTATCTGTACTCAACATTTAAGAGTTCTAACCCTTTAAAATGATTGAAAACACTACTAATCATCATATCTTTCCAAAACAAAAAAAATTTTTTTTGGTTATATTGAGTAAATGTAATAGAACAACTGAAGCATAGCGCGAAATACCTTAACAAAAATTGTTTAAAGTTAGTTTTTTCCTGTGCTTAAATTTCAAGCATTTTTAACAGCTATTTTATGTTGAATAAACAGATCACAAAACAATCCTTCTAACAGTAATGAAAACCATGTATAGCTTACAATAAAACAACAATATTTTTAGCTCGATTTTACAAACTGCTTCTTATAGACTTTATATTTCAGCCAATGAATAACATCAATAAAGAAATATGAGAATATAGATTTAAAAAATTATTTTGTTAAAAGCACAAAAATTTTTATTAAATGTATAAAGTCAGAACAGAATACTGCTTTTATTACCTGTCCATTACTGATATGAAATGCTCCAACAGCTCCTATAGCATCAATCATATGGTTCAGCTTATGACCCGGTGGTGCAGATGCGTTGCCGTATGCAGCGGATAATTGACATAAGAAATACCCATCTAAAAGTCAAGTATTCTAATTGCCAACTAAAAAGCAGTTATCTATTAACAACAGTCATTTTTATTTGTTGAAATGAATTCAGTGAGTTTACCTAAAAATTTAGGAATACTTTTCGACGGACAGTACAGTTCTTTATATTTGTCACCATCCCAGGCTTCTGGAAATCCTAGGGAAACTTTGTCGACTGATTGAGCCTGGAGAACTGCAACAGTTACAGCAACTAACAGAAGCGTTATCAAACCCATTGCATTTAATCCGAAATCCTAGAGGCGTCTCTTCCACCACTTTTCGTTGGCTAAAATTATTAAAATAAATAAAAATTTCAAAAACAATAGACATAATTTTATCAAAGTTGCAATTAACTGAAATAAGATTATAATTCAGTAAAAAAACTGAGTTATTCAACATTTCAAGAATTAAATGGCATTTTAAACACGTAGTAAAACTCCTTAATTGTTTTGATCATGTATTATTGAATCAATAAAAAAAACTAATTGAATAAATTGAGAAATGATCTGTAAAACCTAGTAGCTTTAGTTTAGGATACGTTTATAAAGAAATAGATTAAATGGGCACTAATAAGTGAGGTTTTTTTTCTTTTTTAATAAACTGTAACTGTGTAATAGGCGATTGAAATTTCACTATTGTACTATGATTTACACTAAAATGCGTAAAAATTTGGAAGACGGAGAACTGATGTCTAAAGTTAACCTTAAATTGCAAACAACCATTTAAAAATGGTCGCCATTCAGCGACTTTTTTAAAGCCCAACCGGTACGTCGGCTAAAAAGAAGACAAAAGATGCAGAAAAATTTTTAGTTTCTATTTCACCTACAGATACCTATGTAATATACGTATGTTGCATTGTTGTTGACAGGAAGTTTGCTGAACAAATAAGTGAGAAACACAAATGGATATATGAATGTAAACAAATGTTTATTTCACAAAATATTTCTTATTTTTTTTTCCTCTCTTTTTTGACAGTTGAATAACTGTACAAAAGTTTCAACCAGATTTATTATTTGATTAAAATTTGTTGATAAAGTATGCAAAAATTTTTAATAAAAAATTAAAAGAGTAAGCATGTAAAATGAATAAACGAAGTTTTGTCCAGTTACGGTTAATCAGCAACTAGAAAATTGTAAAATTTGACAAAAATTTATGCACAAATTATGCAAACTAATTTTGATAAGCAATAAGTAAAAGATCCAACAGGAATATAAGCTATAACAGTAACTGAAACTTTCATCATGACCCTTCAGATGATTTTGACGATAGCTGCGCTCAATTGGTCACCGCATAAGAATGCAGTCGATCCCTAAAATGAACACTGAACTATTAATGCCGAGGCACTTGTAGTCGGCGAAACGTTCGAGCCGTTTGTACCGAACTCGTGGTGGATTAAATCAAATGATGCGAAAAACCGTCTGTTCCTCCTATTCATCTTTTACCTCCTTTTAAGGCTATTTTTTTCTGCTTAGCTAGAAAAAAAAGGAAAAAAATTTTTTTAACCGTCAAACCGTTAAGCTTTTTCGTTTATATTTTTCCCTCATCTATTTACATGTTTAAACTTCTGCACCTCTTTAAGCTACCGTAGTTGTTTAACGACCTTTCTTCCGTTGTTCGATGACGTTAAGCAATCATCGAATCCGCAATAACACTTCAACAAAGCTCTATTCTGATCCGAAATTTAAACGTTGATTAGAAAAAAAAAAAAGAAATGAAAGAAGAAGAAAAGCAGCAAAAAAAAAAGCGATAAAGTAGGTAAAAGTAAATTTTTTTTTGTTTTTTTGCCGCTATATGTATAATCAGTTTCTTTGGTTAATTTCCTCATACTTTTTTTTTGTTGCGAAAACAAGCAGCTTTTTCTTGCTTTATAGTTTTATTTTATTTTCGTTTTTAGCCGTTTCCTAATACCGACACAGAAATTTATAACAAAGGCTATTCAATTAAAGTTTTTCCCTTCTGTTTCCTCAATTTTTTTTTTTTGAAGAAATGGTTTCAGTAAAGCTGTAGGTAAAATATTTGCATATTTTATTGTTGACATCTTTTTCATTTCTTCTTCTCACTTTTCAACTGTACAATGACACCTCAACATATGTACTTCTTACTGAACAGATTAAGCGTTGTTATGCAGTAGTGTAGTATATAGTATATCAGTAACAAAAACTTATTCATAATAACTATTTGATCTGCTAATTATTTTTCTTTCGTTTTTTTTTTTTTTGCCACTTTTATTCAGTGTTGCTAAATTAATCAACGGAATAAACACTATTATTCACTGTGTTTCATTTGTTGAAATATAGACAAAAACTACTGGTAAACTAATTAATGGACATCTCTAAGGCCCGAATTTAGTTTACCGATATGGCAGTTGCCTGACAGTAGCTAAAAATTGCTGCTGCTTTTGTTGAAATTGTTGATACAGAAATTGACAGTCAACAAAACAATGAAATTCTTTGTTCATTAAATGTTCTAAATTAAAGATTTTTTTTTTTCTACAAGAAAGCAATTTATGGATTTTCATAAGTGCTATTTATTTGACCCAATTAACATATTGTAACTCAACAAAACAGAAATTTGGCAGAATTTTTGCAATCAATCAACCAAATAAACTGTATTTCAATGTTCCTATTTTTTTTTGAGGAGGAGGAGAAGAGAGGGGGAAGGAGAATGTATATTTAAGAGTAATAATTAAAATTAAAAAATTTAATTGGCATTATTCTGTCTGTTATAGTTAATACAAATAGGAGCAGTAATTGTTGTATATCTGATCTGAAAAAAAGTCAATATCTTAATTTTTTGATAAACAATTTCAATAATATTCATCAAAAGAGAAGGAAAGGAAAAAGCTGTTAAAAATTGAAAAAATAACTATAAAATAGTGTCTGTCTTCTTCTTTTTTTTTTTCAAATGCAAACTTTTTTGTTTTTTGCTGAATCAAAACAATTTGTTTAGATTAAAGATCGTCAAAACAAAAAAAAAAATTGGGGAAAAAGGAAAAGATTTCTGCAGACATAGACAGTTTTTATGGTTCGTTACTTTTTTCTGCTTCTCATTTTTGAGTCTCTTTTAGCCATTACCAATGTTTAAGTCTATTTCCCGGTTAACAAAAGAAGATAAAAATGAAGAAAAAAAACGAAAGAAAAAAGTCTCGATGTTTTTTTTTTCTTTCAAATTTTAATTTTGTCCATATTTTATTACAACAACAGTATTTCTCACATCTTTTTTTTTTTTTTTT